GGGTCGGGGGAAGTAAGATGGAAGAGAAAGAAAAATAAGCAAGAGCCGTACTTATATTCTTGCCATGGTCTCCCAGAAATCCAGATGTACTCAGGTAATGTGAAAAAGACATTAGTTTCTGTACTGATACACTGTGAAAGACATTGCTATGAAATGATCCTACAGCCTTCCTTCATTTTCCCTTTCCAATAGAAGCTCAATTTTTATTGGGGCAGCAAGATGTCCAGCCTGGAAAAATCAAAGCAAGTTTATTCCTCCATACTGGGTGTCCACGTTCACAGACCTACTGTTTGATCTAGTGACCAAATTCTGGCCAGTGACTGGGTCCTGGGAGATAATTACTTTTGTGGAAAAAGAAAAAAATAGAAACTGTTTTCAACTTGAATTTTTTTCTTCTTGAGCGTGGTTTGTAAAGATATGATTTTAAGAGGAATGGCAGCTATCTTACAACTCTTCAATGACAATCTGTTCAGAGCACAGTACTGGGCAGAATGCAGGGATGTAGAAGAAATAGAAGTTATTATAGTCCTTCAGCCCCCAAAGCCTACAATACAAGGTATCAAGACATGCACATGAATTAACTCAAGAACAATTGCAAAGCAATTTACAGTATTAGTCAGTGCCAAATACTGTAAACTCAATGGCCAGCCTCCAAAATCCACTGTTGATAACTCCATCCTGCCAATGCTTCCTGTTAATCTACCTAAATTGAATAAGTTTTTAGGAAAAATGTGACATTTTAGGGGACTCTAACCTCAATTTCTTACATATGTTAAACACATTCCTGACCCTTTTTAACCACCACAAATGACTTTTTCATGGGGAAAACAAATATCAAAAATGCATAAAATTGACATTAAATTTTAGGTTTGGTAAAGCCGATTCATCACTGTGGGACATTATAAAGTTCACTTAATCATTTGGGATTTGGGCTTCTTAATTTGTTAATTGGAGCTGATGATTCCTTCAACGAATATTTAATGAGCACTTAATAAATGTTAGAAGCTGTTTTAGGTCATAGGAATGTAGCATGAACAAGAGAGACAACGTTCTAGAGCTCAGAGGTGGTGAAACAGAATAAACAAATTTACTATATACAAAGGTATAGTGATAAGTTTGACAGAAAAACATAAAGCAGGAGGATAAAAAGTATGCGTAAGTGGGCAGTGTGGCTAATTTACATATAGCAGTCAAGAAATCTTTGATAAGAGGCTTTCCTTTCTGTCTCCATGCATGCGCATGCACACAAACATACACATGCATATCCACTACCCTGATTTTTCTGTAGGAGGAAGGGAAGAAGTCAAATGACTGAAAATACATGAACATCTGATAATTTATTCAGCACTACATGAAAGTAAGGTATGATTTTCATTATTATTGTGGATAAAGTCTAAAATCCTTAGTTTGACATTTAAGATTCTTAAAATACAACCTTCCAACCTACCCTTCCAGTTTTATTTCTACTTACCTGTGTAAACCTAATTTTCAAATAAAAATTTCAGTTCATCTCATCCAGTTGGCAATTAATCATGTACCATCTCATATTGCCTCTATTGTCTCTTCTGTCTAAATCCTCTAGGATTTAAGTTTTTATAAATTCTACATCCTTAATGAAATCATAAATTTTTGTATATCATCAGTCTTTTATGCCTTGAGCATAAAAGGTGTTCAGTAATATCTATTGGTTTTGTTTGATGTACTGTTTTAGCATTTACCATCATTCTAAAAGCTACTGAACTACTTGGGATTCAGTGTCATACTCTATTTTGTACTAGTTTTGAATTGCTTTATCTATTGGGCAATTGTATATTCCTTGAATAGCAGAATTTTAAAAATTTTCTGCATTGTTAGAGCTTCTACTTGCTTTCAGAATTTCCCATATGGGTCACCTCAGTGTCAATCAAATCTTCATGACCATAATCTTATATGCCCTTTTCATAGCCTTTTCATGTTTTAGGAGTGTTTATTGTTATTGTTGTTTCACAAATGATTTTCACGTGAATGTTTTAATTAAAAGAACTTTCCAGCAGTCTGAGAAATCAAGCAGAGGAGAAGAATTAATCAAGTAAAAAAGAATCTATAGGGTAAGTGCCAAGTGTGATTCTGATATACAGAGTAATAATAATCCTATAATGATATCTACATCCTACTCCTTGAGACCTGTGAATATGTTACATTACCTGGCAGAAAGTACTTTGCAGATGTGATTCAGTAAAGAACATTAAAACAGAAGGATGATTCTAGATTATCCAGGTGGACCTAATGTCATTACAAAGGTCCTTCTATGAGGGATGCAGAATCAGAAGAGATGAGACAATAGAAGTAGAAGTCAGAGTGATGTGGTCACAAGTCAAGGAACTCAGGCAGCCTCTAGAGACTGGAAAATACAAGAAGGAATAACTTGTCTCTTCAGAGTCTCCAGAAAGAATGTACAGCCATAATTGCCTCTTTGATTTTGATGTTAGCCCTAAAAGATCCATTTTCAGATTTATGCCCTCCATAGCTGTAAGATTATAACTTTGTAATTTGATAACTTTGTGGTTATTTGATATAGCAGTAGTAGAAAACTGATATAGTGATATAGTAAAAACAGCCACAAAATAGAATCTGTTATATCTAGCACCTAATGCATGCATAATAATTGAGTAACCTCAGGAAAAATCATTACTTCAGTTTCTTTTCCTATAAAATTAAATTTTATATACCTGTACAGTGTTCCTATGAACACAGAGAAAATTCTTTATATGAGCATTTTGTAAAGTGTTTCATGTTATACAAATGTTGTATGCAAAATTTTGGCTTAATTTTTTTAATTAATTAGTTTATTTTAATTAAGAATATATGACAGAAAAATGCATTTTGATTCATTGTACACAATTGCAGCACAACTTTTCATTTCTGTGTACATGATGTAGCATTGCACTATATGTGCAGTCATACATGTACCTAGGGTAATGATGTCCATCTCATCCCACCATCTTTCCTGCCCCATACTCCTTCCCCTCCCCCTCCCCCCTTTGCCCAAAGTTCCTCCATTTTTCTCATGCCTACCCCATTAGGGATTAGCATCCACTTATCAGAGAGAACATTTGGCCTTTGATTTTTGGAATTGGCTTACTTCGCTTAGCATGATATTCTCCAACTCCATCCATTTAGCTGCAAATGACATAATTTTATTCTCTTTTAATTCTGAGTAATAATCCATTGAATATATATACCACAGTTTCTTTATTCATTCATCTATTGAAAGGCATCTAGGTTGGTTCCACAGTTTAGCTATTGTGAATTGAGCTGCTATAAACACTGATGTGGCTACATTACTATAGTATGCTGATTTTAAGTCATTTGTAAATTTTTCTTAATGAGGCCACAGACTGGAAAAAAGGCATCTATCCTTCATACTCAGATACTGTAAATATTGCTCCATAACCACTCCTGAAATAAAGATGTTTTGGAAGTTACCACCCAGCATCCTTGTCACAAAGTTCCCATCAGCCAAAACAAGTATAATGAATTAATTTGCAGCATTATTTGCTAAATAACTAATAACAATAATAATAATATATAATATAATATAATATATAATATATATATTATATATAATATATAATAATAGCCTATATATAATATATAATAATATATAATAATAGCCTTACTATCCCTTTTAATCCACCTTTAGGAAGTAGTTCTCAATCAACTGGAGCTGGCATAAAAAAAAAAGACACTTATTTAAAAATCCCTGACCTAGTGGCTTAGAAAGTTTGTTGTTTTGGCCAGCCTCAAGGGCATCACCTGGGAGTTTGTTAGAAATGCAGATCCCACTCCAGACCTATGGAATCACAACAGCATTTTCAACAAGATATCTAGGTGAGCCCTGGAAATTGGTCAAAGAAGGTATTTTGGAGTGATGTGAATCCCAGCTGTGCCCCTTACAACCATAAACTCAAGGGAAGTGTCTAAATCATCTAAGTCTCATTTTCTTCATACACAAATGAGGAATAATACACATCTGATGGCTCATTGTGAGAATTAGAGTGCTGCATATAAGGCGCTGTGCACAAGGCCTGCCAACAAAGACTCAGTTAATAATAGTTTTCCTTATTGTATCATTTTGCACCATCTACAGCGGCTAACCGTATTACATATCCATTCATAACTGCTGGAGCTGCTCACTAGGGCCAGTTTCCAAAGCAATCCACGCCTCTTGGGGATAGGGGTATTCTATTCAGTGGAGGACCCTTAGCAATGCCAATTCCAAATACGCAGGATACTGTACACTGTACAACAAATATTAAACGTCCGGTGACCTCCTTGCTCTCAGATCTTCACCGCACGTGGCTTTGTGAGAAACACGTCCACTAGAGTCTAGACTCAGCCTTGGAGTCTAATGACCTGCAGGAAAAGGCAAGGGCCAGAATTCCTACTCTGCCGCTCTGGGTCACCAGCTCGCTTGCCTAATCCTCTTCTTAACTTTCGATCTGTTCTCCTGTGGCTGGTCTCCTTGCAGCAGAACCACAACCTGCCTTCCGCCGCCCAGCTCCCCCGCCAGGCGCGCAGCAGGCGCGGCTGGAACTCTTTCCCCTGAGACCAGTTAGGCAGAGGAGGGGGTTCGTGAGGGCGGAGCTCCGGCGTCCTGCTGCTGCTGTTGCTGCTGCTGCTGCTGCTACCACGGTTGCTGCTGCTGCCGCCGTCACCGCCACTGCCTGCAAGGCTGCAGCCCCTTGCTCGGGTCCTCAAGCCCGGCAGCTCCGGACAGATGGGAGCACCCTGGGCCTGATGGATGAACAGTCGAGTTCGTGAACTCCCATCACCAAATTTGCTCTGCGCCTGGTAGTGGCGGCGACCGGAGGCTGCAACACAGTGGCGGGGGCTGCCGGGCGATCCCGCCCCGCTCCAGCGCGCCACCTCAGCTCTTTGCATAGTAATTTCAGTTCCTGATCGCACAGAGCTGGCTCCGGGACTGGGTTGAAAAGGACCGCAGCTCGCCAACCAGAGACGTCGGTGTGGCGCCCAGAGCCTGTGCTTAGGATATGCGACGGGAAGCCCTTGCTACAGCGCAGACAGTGGCCCCGCGGTGCCGGGGAGAGCCAGGCGAAAGCAGGTAGGCGACCTGCGGCGTAGGGAGGAGACGCCCCCCGCCCTCCCGCCACTCTGCCCAGTGGCCAACCCTGGGGGCCGGAGCGTTGCGATGTGTTGTATATTGATGGGGGAGGGATTTGGTCCCACATTTTGCTGGGGGTTCCTTTGCCTGTTGCTCTTGTCCCCATCCCATCCTGCCTCGCAGGTAATGAATTTCTCTGCAAGGTCATTGCTGCCTTAAGCTCTCTGCCTTTGAAGGTAAATAGGAGAAAACTCCTGATGTTCGTGAGCTGGGGGATTTACAATCAGTCGGGTCTGCACACTGCGAATATCGAAAGAGGGGCGTGTGTGTATGTGTGTGCGGCATTTTTCTCATTTTTCTTACGTTTATTCCCATTAAGGTCAAAACACTGGACATATATAAGTATTTTCATGTGTGTTTGTGTGTATATATATTTACACATATATAGTTTTTCTTGAGATGGGCGGGGAGAGAATAGGAAGGGCGGGCAGAGGTTGATAAAGGGAAATCATTGTAAAGACCTGTTCAGTGTCTGGAGGTGAACTTTGGAACCACATTAAGTCAAGATAGAGACTAGAGCAGATAAACAGCTCTGTGGATGTGGATTTTCAAAAAAGGTCTGAAGAAGATAGTTAACTGATACAGCAGATCTTTATGGTATCCAGGCAAATGGAGAAGATGTAGGCAAAATTTCAGATGCAACAATGGGCAGTGAAAGAGGGGAAATGGAGGGGTACATAGTTGACATTGGGAAGTGAATTTGGGGTGGAGAGAGACAGCAAATGCAGGTCAGGTTTCTAGGGCCTTCTTGAGGGGTATTCAGAGAAATCACTGCCTTTGAATGTAGACAGTTCAAGGTTAAGATGATGTGAATGTCCACAAAGCAGCAGAGGAGGTGGAGGGGGGGGAGAGAAGACTTGAAGGGGGAGGGGAGAAACCAAGCTCTGAGTAGTCACTAAAGTAGCAGCCACCTTTTATTAAAGTGTCTTCTTCCTCCAGTTAAAACTGTGCCTGGATATGCTCGATTTAAATATTTTTCACAACACATTTATTAATGATCCATTGGTCTGTGTTTTTTGTTTTTTTTTTTATTTTTGCAAGGAATCTGGGTCATGGTGGGACTGGAAGAAACTGAAGTGTTTACAACACCAGAAAGATTTGGAGAGAGAGTTGATTAAGGCTCAGCTTCATGAAATATTTACACATCTCTTGCGTGGGCTTTTGTTTGCTCCTGTTGGTGCTGCTGCATATTTTACTTTGATAATGCTTTGAATGTACTTCTCCTGAATGTGCTTATTTTCCAGTTAGAAACTATTCTTTCTTTTCCATTGTGTTCACCATTGACCTGCCTTAAGTAATAATTGTGGGAATAAAGATACGTGAGTCACAGTACAAAGAATAAAATCTTCTCTATTGCTATCCCCAAATGGCCAGAGTTTGCATAAGAGAATGTTCTTTGAAAAGAGTCTTTTTCCCCCCAAGTTTGTAGGTGTTTTGGGGGGTGGGATGTACTGTTGATTCACAGAGAAAAAAGTAGTGATTGCTGTCATGGTCTAGAATATGATATGGTAGAAATTTATTTTGGACACAAAGCAGATGAACTCATAGAGAAATGTGGACATTGTGTTGGATTGTGGTGAGGCTTCACCTCATCACTAACTAGACTTATGAAAATGATAAGAATCAAATCACTAGTGCATCAGCTTCACATACAGAGTGTAGAACTGAAGCAGTATGTGACCAAATCAGTCTCAATTGGAGGGGAGGGGAGATTCCAGCAAGCTGTTTTGAAATCTGAGTGTTTTAATTGCCTCTAAGGACTTGCCCAATACACTTAATTATTTGTTCCTGCAACATTTTCTTGATTATGCCCCAAATAAACTTGAAAGAATATATTTAGATCCATCTATCTCTCACTGTTTGAATTGCTAGTCACAAACTCTGCAGCCTACAGGGAAACACTGATATATTGGTGATGGAATTACAAAATCATAAAATACTGGCCTCAAACAGTGAGGACACACAATTTTAGTTCCAAACTTGCTCTGGAGCTCTTTCTGTGGCAGCTGCATGTGGCCTCAGTGCCCTCATTCATTCACTCAGCCAAACAATTTTCATTCATGCATTCCACATGTATTTTTCTTGAATTGAACATGGCCCTTGAATGTAGAATAAAAGGATGAACAAGACATAGCTTCATCCTACAAAACTTGAGGGGGAGACTGATAGTAAGAGCTAGTTACATGCTATTGCAAGGTGCTAAAGAAAACAGATTATGAAGGTAGAGAGAACAAGACAAGTCTACAGTGGCTCTGAAGGGTGAGAGGAACTCACCAGGTGAACAAGCGAGGGCAAAATATTCAGAGTCCCAGAAAAACAAGGAGCTCTAAGTTATTAAAAAAAAAAATGTGAGCTGGGTGTGGTGATGTATGCTGGTAATTCCAGCCACTCAGGAGGCTGAAGCAGGAGAATTCCAAGTTCAAGGCCAGTCTGGTCAATTTAGCAAGACCCTGTTTCAAAATTTAAAATAAAAAGTTCTGGGGAAGTAGTTCAGTGGTAAAGTGCTTCCCTAGCATATGTGAGACCCTAGGTTCAATCTCCAGAATCATGAAGAACAGAAAACCAAACAAATAAACACGAGTACATAAAGGTAGAAAGTTGAGGATGGAGAGGAAGACAGGATCTACCTATGAGTCCAGCGGGCAGCACCTCATCTGGTCAGTAAACCTTTGGCTCTGAAGAGGTGAAGTAAATGCATACATATTCAGGCTTTTTATGGTTCCAATGATCCAAATTCGTATCCTTCAAATATCTACAAACCATATTTACCTTGATTTATAATCACCTGTTAAAGAAGAAAAATGTTCCTGAGTAAGTCATAATTGAGTCTCATTGACTTCATCCATGAAATGTCTGACCCACTTTGCACATTGTGAAAGTCAAAGAGATTATGAGGGAAAGGAAATTTGAGTTTTATAGAAATGAAATTTAGAAATGCAGAGAATCTTATTTTATAATAAGAGTGTATAGGGGAAAAGATGGGAAATTGTATATACCAAGCATTTACTTGTTCTAGAAAACTGGAAAAAGCAAATACACCAAGGCATGAAACACTGAATGAACAAACAACTAAATTGGGAGTATTACTTAAAGAGCCCAATGGCCACATATAATTTTTAAATAATTTTTAAGTGAGAGAAATGGCTATAACAATTCCATAGTAATCAATAAATGCCCTTCTGGTACGGCATTTTTAAAACTGCAGGTCTCAAGCCATTGTGAAGTCAGTGACTATGATTAGCATTTTTTTTTTAAATACAAGAAAGAGCCAGGTGTGGTGGTGCACGCCTGTAATCTCAACAACTTAGAAAGCTGAGGCTGGAAAATCACAATGTCAAGGCCAGCCTCAGCAACTTAGCAAGATCCTGTCTCAAAAATTAAGATTAATAAAAAGGACTGGAGATGTAGTTCATGGTAAGCACCCCTGGGTTCATACCCCAGGACCCTTCCCCAATATAATAAGGTAAGACAGCATAAAAGAATAAGTACTATTCATGCGAATTTTAAAATTAAGTACTTATATGTGGTACGTAATGGACCGTGATATAAAATATATATATCCTATTATAACCATCATGTTCCAGAAAGTCCAAAGGCTACTGCTTTAAATGACACAAAGAAGAGATGCCGCTACTTTGCAAGATGACAACAATTTACCAGGACTTCAGATCCACAAGTATTTATGCAATATTCTGAAAAGCAAAGTTGCTTCACTGAAAAAGGCAAGACTGTGTCTTATGAAATGCATTCCAGTAAAGTCTGAGAGCAAGCTCCTCAGGGACTGAATTGGTCTGCAAAACTTCAGGAATGAGGGGGAACTTGAGCTAGTTTATGAATGATGGCTGGATCTAGTTGGGCACTGAGGAAGGGGTGGTGACATAATAAGAGACAGCAAAAAATGAAGTGGGTAGTGGGAGGTAGCTTTCAGAATCATTTGGAGAAAAAGTGATTATCAAGTTGGAGTAGATAATGGTAGTGAAATTTCTGTTTAGCCTGAAATATTACTCAATGGTTGCTATTATTTTTAATAAATTTAATAAGTTATGCCTATTTAAGGTATACAATAAGATGTTGATATACACGTAGATATACCTAGTTACTATAGTAACTATGGTTAAACAAATCAACCTATCCATCATCTCCCATAATTACCCATTTCTCACCCCATTCTTCATACCCGTACCCCCAGTCTACCATCAACCGCAAGAGTAATTATAATCTACTCATTTGCTAACAGAAATCATGATGCTATACACTATTTTAAAAAATATTTTAGTTGTAAATTGATTCAATATCTTTTCATGTATTTATTTTTATGTGGTGCTCAGGAATGAACCCAGTGCCTCACACCCGTGAAGCAAACACTCAATCAGTGAGCTACAGCCTCAGCCCTGTGATACACTATTTTTAGCTATAGTCCTAGTGTTGTACATTAGACCTTTAGATGTTCCTCCTACATATCTATTGCTTCATATCTTTTGACTTGCTTCTCCTCTTTTCCTCCCTGCTCCCACTATTGTTTTAGTCTCTGTTTCTGTATATGTAATCTCGTTTTTAAAGAGTTGTTAATTATTTTATATCTAAGATTTCTCTTCCTAATCCTGCTGCTTCAAGAAGATATGGCTGGAATGGTTATAACATCATCAATCTGTTATGTCCTGCCATCTTTTTCATTCTTTTGCAATCATTTACTGGTTGAACCTTAATTTAGTTGAATTTGATAGTTGAACTGTTGAAGTTACGACATACACGGCATTGCAGCAAGATAATTTCATTTCTCAGAACACAACTACAGTCACTGTCACAGAGGGTGAAAGGGTGCTCAGGTGACCATCCTATTCTCTTTAACAAACTTCCTCCCAGGAAAACTTGATAGAGGCAACGTCCTCTGCAAGGCACTGACTGCCCTATGAGTATGTGCAGGTCACTGGGCTATGCAT